ACAGATTTTACAGTTTGGTGAAGTTTGATAAATAAAATCATCAAAAAAATCAGTATTTCTATCAAACTATTTGTGGTTTTGCAACATTTGACGATAAAATAGTCCAACTTTGTTTTTTTTAAATCAGCAAAAATATCCTTATGTTCCAGATATTTGTTGTAATTTGAAGAAAAGAAAGTTTACATTATTGTTTTACAGGTTTTCTTGCAGCTCTGTCTGGAAAATCTTTATAAAAAGCTTCGTATTGCTGCCAAATGTTGCTGTTTTTCTTCTTCTGCTGGCAGCTGCAGCTGGAACAATAACGTACATCATGATTCAAGGTTTTTTTAAGAATTTAATTTTGGTTTTTGGTGTTTTTCGTTCTGAGTCCTGCGGACAGAAGACGTCTCTGAGTTCTGAATTTGATTAAAAATAAGACGCACACGGCAAAAAAGGACATCGAGAAACTGGACGATCAGAGATAATTTAGTTTCTGCCGTGATTTAATCAGGACCACATTTATCTCCATGGCAACATAAAGGCCAGAGAGCAGGCGGAGGTCTGGTTCTGTCGTCACGTCTAATCCGGGTCTGAGCGAGTTCAGGTGAAGCCGGCGGACGTACGTGGGCGGAGGGTTTCCGGTCGCCTCGCAGGGAAGGTACATGTCCTCCGGAGAAAACGCCGTGAAGGACTTCGGAGTCTCCGTCAGGACCGGAGGCTGCAGCACTGGAAGCACACAGGAAGGGACAGGAAGTGACAGGAAGCACACAGGAAGTGACAGGAAGCACACAGGAAGTGACAGGAAGTGATGAGAAGCACACAGGAAGTGACAGGAAGTGACAGGAAGTGATGGGAAATAAGAGGAATTAATGCTGAGTACAGAAAAAAGTCAACCAGCAGAACCAACGGAGCACCAAACGCCGCCCCAGGATGAGTTTCTATCTGGACTTCCACATTACTGGAACCAACAAACGTCCTGTTGCTGCAGAAACGGCTCGACTGATCAATATTTATAGCTTCAGGCAGGTAAAGTAGAATTCAGGTTGTTTTTTTAGCTGTTAAACTAGAAAACTGCTCCTTTGTTAAAAAATGTAAAATAAATAAACAAACAATCAAAAAACGTCCAAGTGAAGAGATCTGCTGCAGACACAAGGAGACACAAAATGACAAGAATGAAAAATAAAATGTCAAAAACAAGCGACAAAATGACAATAATGAGAAAAACGATGACATAAAACAAAAAGAGCGAAATCAAATGACAAAAACGAGACACAATGAGACACACAACTAAAAATAAGAACTTAAAATAACAAAAACAAAAAATAAAATAACAAAACAAGAAATTAAACCACAAACTGAGACACAAAACTAAAAATAAAGTGACAAAAACGAGAAACATGAGACATAAAAAGACAAAACAAAAAAACTAAATGATGAAAACGAGACACAAAATGATAAAATGAGACACAACGACACAAAAAATTGAATAAGAAAAACAAAAAATAAATAAACGAGACACCAAGCAACAAAAATGAGACTCAAAGTGAAGAAACGAGACACAAAACAAACAAACAAACAAACAAACAAACAAACAAACAAACAGTAACTCAGCGTCTGACAACAGTTTTCTCTGTTTTTGGAGCCGTTCTCTGAATGCTGCTCTAACACCAGGTCCAGGCAGCTTTCAGGAGGTCAGAACCTCAGAACCTGTGTAGGTCCCTGAACTCTGCTGTCTGTGCTTCAGACGGTCATGAAGAGCCGCAGTGCAGCTCTGATCAGTTAAAAGCAGGAATCCTCCGGTTCTGGACCGGCGCCGATCACGGCGTCTAATAAGATGAACTCTATTGATCCGTCAGGCTGGAAGCAGCACGACTAGTCCGATCAGGATGGAGATATGATGAAGGCCGGAGCAGCAGGAACTGATTGCTGATACCAGCTGATGGGTTTTATCACTGAGATGTTCTTCTGGACCAACAACGAGCTTCTTTGTTCTGTTTCCTGAAAACTGCCTCGTTTAAAGAAACTGAATTAAATGTGATTAAAGGTGAAGTCAGTTAAATGTTGGTGAACACGTGAGTCTGATGATAAACTGGATCACATTCAGACAACACAACACACACACGGTGATGAAAACACAACATCTCAGGTTGGACACACCAGACTGAACAGATGACGTGATGGTTTGTTGGAAAAAAAGTTCTTCATCACAACCAGGACGGTCCCGGACTGCTCTGAACTTTATCGACACGAAACACGACACGAAATACCGAAACTTAGACACAAAACCAAAAAAAGAGAGAAACGAAATGACAAAACAGAGACACACAATGACACAAAACATAAAATAGGGAAGTAAAATGACAAAAACACACACAAAATGACAAAAAATAGGCAAAATGACGAAATCGAGAAATAAAATGCCAGAAAAAAAACACAAAAAACTAAAATGTGACACAAAACGACACAAATCATGACAACACAACAAAACAAATAAACACGAGGCACAAATAACACAAAACAAGACACAAAACAACAAAAACTGCCAAAAAAGGAAAAAATCAAGAAGTAAAATGCCAGAAAAAAAACAAAAATGTGACACAAAACGAAAAAAAAACATGACAACACAATAAAACAAATAAACACGAGACACAAACAACACAAAACAAGACACAACACAACAAAAACGAGCCAAAAAATGACAAAATCAAGAAATAAAATGCCAGAAAAAAACTCAATATGACAAGAAATGAGACACAAAATAACAAAAATTAGAAATGAAACGACAAAACCAGACACAAAACAACAAAATAAGACCTAAAATGACAAAAACAAGAAATAAAATGCCAGAAAAAAACATAAAAAAACCAAAAAGTGACACAAAATGACAAAGAACAGACTCAAAACGACACAAAACATGACAGTACAACAAAAATAAGACCCAACACGACAAAGACGATCTTCCAAAGACGAGACAACACGACCACAAACAGTCCAAACCGCCCACATCAGACACAGAACAGAACCAAAGGAACCAGCTGTGGCTGTCTCTCAGGTTCTGGACCTTCTAACTGAGTCATTCTGCTCTATGAGACGTGTCTTTGTCCTGTCAGACGTCTGCTTTGAGCTGCAGGACGTCGGTGAGAAATGAGCCACAGAGACGAACATGATGATGACAAACAGGAAGGAGACTTACTGTTCTGTATCTTATCTGTTAGTCCACAGGAAGCAGTGAAGGGAAGCAGAGAGCACAGGTCAGACACATCACACATCATCATGCTAACCAGGCTGCTTCTAATCAACCGTCACCATAACCAACCCACTGGTCTCATACTTTTATTATCTCCTCCATCTACTTCTGTACTTCCTCCTGCTGTCTGTTACATCTGCTCGTCTTCCTGCCACACCCACAGCTGAAGGTCGCACGCTGAAGGTCGTGGTGAACCTCATCCCTCCTCCTCTGGGAATCCCCCGACCTCCCACCCCCGACCTCCGACCTCCAGAGCTCATTCTGATTCTGTTGTTTAAGCGTATTTGTTCTCTGTGTTTATTAATCGTCGGGGATTTGACCCCAGAATGGTCCAAAACAAAGACCCGAGTGACTGACCCAGGCAGGAAGAGAAAGCCCACTTAAGCAAAGAGAGCATCAAACAAGCCGTCGATGGCGTTTGATTTATGGCACGACGACCGTGTTGAGGTTCCACATGACCGACGGCGGAAGTTCTCGCTTTTTATTCACGGGTCATTTCATGAAAAATCCATCAGAACCTCCCCCCTGACCTCCTCACAATCAGCTGATTGTTTATCTGCACTGACTTCTGGAGTTCTACCTTCAGAATGTTCCAGAGCTCCAGGTCCTTGAAGTCCACAGAGGAGGGTCCAGATTGATCACCTTAATGGACTAAAGCTCAGAACTTCATCAGTACAGCAGATAGACTGTTTCTGTTTGAGTCCTGAGCTGGAAAACCAACAACAACCCAACAGAACCCGGAGTGGTCCTGACAGTTGTCGGTAGGTTTACTTCTTCACTTCATACACTCAATGTTCTCCTTTAAACTAAGTTTGACTTATCACTTTAATGGACTTTTCCATCATTTCTGAGCCTCAGAACCTCATCAGTACAGNCATTTTCTTTTATGTTTTTTATACATTTAAAAACATATTTTCCTCCATTTCATTGATATCATTCAATATTTAAACAACATCCATGTTGTCTGACTGTTTAATAATATCTCACATTTTTCAAACATACGATCAAGACTTTCAGATATTTTTAATGAACATTTTATTTATTTTATTTATATTTTCTAGAAATTTTGTTCACATCTTATGAAGGTTTATTAATATTTAAAAAAAATATTATTATTTAAACTTTTGCTAAATATTATAATTTATTTGGACAATCCAGGAGTATTTTTAGACAAAATTTAAAATGTTTTGACATTTTGATCATATTTTTGGACTTATTCATGTTCCAGTACATTATTTACATATACATTAATATTTTTCAGAAATTTTTTCAAACGTTTTAAAGAAACATTTTCTGACAGAATCATATTTTTCTGAATATTTAATTAAACTAAAATATATGAATAATATCATAACATGTAAATATTTTTAGACAGTTTGTTGAAATATTTTTCTAAAATTGTTTTAATATATTTGGACATTATTATATTGTATTAATGTTTTCTATAACATCATTCTTTTCAGATTATTATATATTTTTACATTTTAATACCTTTCTGTCACATTCTGACTATTTTTGGACGTAGAAATAGTTTTAAAAAAAAATTCTGTTGGCATTTTTTGACAGTTTATATTAGTATTTCCAGACATCTCTGAGGATGAGGAAGCACCAGCGTAAAGAGTTCTGTAGAACCTCGCTGAGTTTAACCATCAGATGCGAACCCGGCGCCGAGGTTCTGTCCTGGAGAAGGTTTAAACTTTTAAAACGAGGTGAAATGTTCTGGTTCCAGCTGGGCGTTGAGCCCGTTTTCTTTCCGTTTGTTCGCTGGACTTACTTGTCGTCCGGCGAGGACTCCTGCAGCTTGTGTCCGTTCTTCTTCCAGACCACCTGGACGTCGTGCAGACGAGGGTCTTTGTAGAAGCGACAGTCGAACAGCGCGTCGCCTCCTCGGACGACTCGGAGGTGCTGAGGCCCGGCCAGGACGACGGTCCGATCTGGGACGGGAGACACCTCTGTGAGCTTTCAACGGACTCAAACCCAACAGCACCGACTTCATAAAAGATTTAAATCAGGGTTAAAAAAGAAAGAAGAATTCAAAGAGAAAACACTGATCGTTTATTCAGATTTCTATGTTTCTATACATATTAACATTTGTCTGTTTATTAATGTATTACAGACATTTTACTTCAAAAACATTATTTTTCAATTATTTTCTATTTCATGTGATTTTCTCAATACTTTGGATTTTACTATGTTATTAATGTCATATTTTTGACAATAATAATAATATTGTTGAACAGATTCATCTTCATAATCTTATGACATTCTGATTATTTTTTGACATTAATTCTTTTGACACTGTGTTAGTATTTCTTTTTTTTTCAGAATTCATGAATATTTTTTTTTAATTATTTTAAATATTTTCCAAACACAATATCTACATTTTTATTTATATTATATATATATATATATATATATATATATATATTTTTTTTTTTTTAAAAAGGGAAAATATTCATATGTTGCAAATTATTATTAATTCGCAAAAGATTAATATTTTCTGACATTTTAAAATATATATGTGTATTTTAGACATTTTATTCAGATTTTCTGACAATTCCGTATTATAATATTTTAAGATAAATTATCAATTTCCTGGAAATGTGTTGATATTATTGAACCTTTTATTTTATTAATATTTTCACACATTTTATTTAGATTTTTAAAACATTTTCAGACGTGAATATTTTTCTGGACATTTTAATTTTCTTTCTAACACATTCATATTATTAATTTTTCTGACATGTTTAATCATTTTCAGACATTTTCTCATTATTTTGTGGAATTTATTGTATTATATTAATATTTTATAAAATATTACTCTTTGGGTGATTATTTTCTGATTTTCCACATATTTTATTTAGATTTTTAGACATTATTAATATTAATATTATCCTACATATTATACTTTCCTGACATATTCTGACGACGTTTGGACATTCTAGTATTTTTTCAGAAATGTTATTTAGATTTTTTTTTGACAGTTTATTAATGTTTTCTGACATTTTAGAAATTTTCTGAATATTTATGGACATATTATTTTATATATATATTTTTACTGCCATTTTATCAATATTTTTTTGGAAATGTTATTAACATTGTCAGACATTTTATCATTATTTTGTGGAATTTATATTATATTATATTATATTCATATTTGAGAAAATATTTATTTTGGGTGATTATTTTTCTGGACATATTAATATTTTTCTGACTTTTTAAAAAATTTATTTTTAATTCTTTTAAAAATATATTTGGAAATATTTTCCAGACTTTTGTCTTCATATTTTTCAATGTTACTTCCTGAATATTTTCGTGATTGTCCCGAGGGCAGCAGGACGAAGCAGAACTGAGGGGCTCTGCAGCAGCTCGGCCCGACTGGGACCAGAACTCACTGAAGACCTCCAGGTTGGCCGTGATGGAGATGTTGGCGTTCTTGATGGAGCACTTGTACTCGCCGCTGTCGTCGTGGCTCACGTTGGTCAGCTCGATGGTGCCGTTGGTCAGAAGAGACACTCGAGGGTCCGACAGCAGCGGAACCAGATCCTCTTCTGCCTCCCTGAGACAGAAAACAGAAAACATGATGACGTCAACCAGAGCCGATCGATAAACCAGAGCTGATCGATAGACGAGAGCCGATCGATAGACGAGAGCCGATCGATAAACGAGAGTCGATCGATAAACGAGAGTCTCCTGAATTCAATCGGTGAGCGACAGGAGAGGATCAATAGCGATGATTGATAAACTCTACAGCTTCACGCTGAGAAATAAACACAAATAATCCTGATCTGTGCAGCGACAAAAACACATTAGGATTAAAGTTAACACAAATAAATGTGGAAATAACAGTTTTAAAATTTAAATACTTTAAGTTCATGTATTTATTATTAATAATGTTGCTGCTTATTTCTAACAATAAAAGTCTGAGATATTTTCAGAATAGTTTTAGGAATATTGATCGTTTTCTGCCTATTTCATTTATTTATTAATAATACTTTTACTGATATGTTATTAATATTATTTTTACTAATATTTTAGTTGCCAGATTATTTACTTAAATTATTTACTTATATTTTTTAGATGTTGTAAAAATTATTTTTTGGGACATTTAGAAAAACATGCTCTGACCTTTTCTATTCTTTTTTTTTTGTAGGTTTTCTGACTGATCATTTTTTTATTTGTGTTTTCAGCAGCTGCAGTTCTTCCTGCAGCCAGCGGGGGGCGCCGCCGCATCATCCAAAGACAAAAAGGTTTGATTTCAGACTGAAACTGATCCTAAAAACAAACATTTTGTTTCTATCCGAATTCGCATTCGTCGTATTTTTCTACACGGAACTAAAATGTTTTCAGAAAGTGAAATAATATTAAATTCTGTTTCACTTCTATTGTCTCCTCCTTTCTCCTCCTTCCCTCCTTATTTTCCTCTTTTTGTCAATGAAACATGGACAATAAAGTGATTTTGATTAAACAGTCTGAAGGTTGGTTTTTCCCGGTGGACCCAAATGTCCCACGTGATGCATTCAAGGACCGTCAGAAAGTTAATAATCCAGTTAAAGTTTGGCAGTTTTTACACTTTCTGGAGGATTTTTAGGCTTCAGACGGTGAAACACCAAAACGTAGGAGGAGGAGGAGGAAGAGGAGGATGAGGAGAGGGAGGAGGTTGTATATCTAAGCGTAAGCGTGGTCTGCGGTAAAGAGGAGGTCACCATGTGACGTGGGGTCTGGGCGAGCCGAAGGATTCACAGTGCAGCTGGACATCTCCTCCCTCCATCACTCGGTACACGACTCCGTCAGAGGACAGGATCTGAGGAGGAAGCTCTGAGAGACACACAGACGTCGATCAGTAACCGATCAACGGATCAATCAGGGATCAATCAGGGTCAATCGATCAGAGGCCAACGCACCGACGACGAACAGGAAGGTGTTGAGCAGAACCGAGCCGTGTTTGTTGGAGGCCTCACACTGATAGACGGCGTTGTCGGAGAAACCCACGTCTCTGAGGATCAGAACCCCAGAAGATACGCTGAGGCGAGTATCTGGGTCCACGTCTGGAAGAGGAGGAGATGACGGAGGAGGAGGAGGAGGAGGAGGAGGAGGAAGAGGAGGAGATGATGGAGGAGATGGAGGAGGAGGAGGAAGGGAAGAAGTAGTGATCATTGTGTCAGGTCCAGCATCAGACCGTGTCTAACTTCACCAGGTTCTGGTTCCACCTGAGCACCACGGAAGAAGAAGCCTCTGACCTGAGATTGGTTGCCCGTTGATGCTCCAGGTGATGTCCGGTTTGGGGATGCCTTCAGCCAGACAGTCCAGCCGGACGGTTTCTCCTGGAGCGTAGCGGAGGTTCTGGGGTTCCTTCACCCAGTACGGCGCCGCTGGACGGAACCGGACGAGTTAGAACGGACAGGATTCACAGAAAAACACCAAACGTGTAATATCTATGTATTAATATCTATATTTTTATATCTATTTACTAATTC